AAAGGTTCTCGTTGAGCTCAAATCCATGACAACTATATGTGTAAAGAGCTTGTGTGTTTTGATGATCGAAAGTTGTTGGTATGGATGGAGAAAAAAACTTGAAACACTAGGTTTGATGTTTAAACAAGACTAATGAAGCAATGTATATACAGGGGCGTTCGATTGTCCGGTTATACCGGTCGTCGGTTTTAATTTGTCCATGTAGTTTAGGTAGGTGAGGTTTGGAGAAAGGTAAAACAGTAAATCGAACCGATAACACTTAAGTCTTTTGGCTTCGATTTGATATCAATCGAATTGAAACCAATCGAAGCCAAGAGACTATCTTTCTCCAAAATTTACCTCCCTAAACCGCATGGACTAAGTAAAATCAAGGACCGGTAAAACCGGATAATCGAATACCCTTGTATAATCGAACACTCTTGTTTCAAGTTTTTTCTTTCCTTCCATATTAACAACTTTCAATCATTAAAACCCTCAAGCTCTTTTATACAAACAGTTGTCTTGGATTTGAGCTCAACCAGAACCTTTTTCTGAGTATCACAGTTGTGTGTTTCTTAACAACGCTATTCTCAATGGCGTAGAAAATCGTCCAATGAATTCCTTCTTCTTGCAAATCTCCGTTTGAAATACAACCAGTCTTTACTATCTATCCTGTCAAATGAGCCAGTTGGCCCTTCACTCTAACCAAAACGAAGCCCCACACTTTTCCAAAGACCCCGTACTTTCTGCTTCCAACTTTAACAACATGTTTTGTGACATGAGCATAAGCACCTCTGAGGTGGCTATGGTGCTCACAGAAGCTGCCATTCCAACCTCAGAGCATCCTCACATCATGGCGGAAGTCAAATCCACTGCCATGAGAGTGGCCCGTCAATTTGGCGATGTCGAGGACAAAACTATCCCACTTGTTTTTTATACCGCTAAGTCACACTTCGAGATCATTGGAGACCCCTTTCAATCCAACTTTGAAGAGTATGTGAACAATCAGGTAGTGATATGATTGATTAAAGTAGATTTATTACTTCTCATAGTGTGTTTGATATCCTTGTTTTTCAGCTCATCACCTTTTAATTTAGAGCCATTTTGATATCTTAGCTTTCTTACTTATTAGCTTTAAATAATCCAATAAACATTTTCATCATATTTGAAATTCTCTTTTCTAGTTACTTGGCTGAAATCGGGGAAAATGAAGAATATAATATTTTCTTTATTTCATTAATAATTTTATCATAGTTGAGCCATTTTAACTGAGAAATTAACAAATTTAGCCAAATATAGCATTTTCAAACAGGCACTTGTGTGTTTGACTTATTCCACTCGAGTTGGATCATTGTGATGAGGGATGTCTTTTTATTATTAGGATATTTTCACTATTCCATATTTTTCTACTTTTATAGTAGGTGGCGGCTGCAGACAGTAGTGATGAATTTGAGGAGTTTGACGATAATGCGAATGAGGAAAATGGGATTAATGATGATGTGATGAACTTATCGAATGAGGAAGAGGAGGAGGACTTCCAGATTTTTCCGACAGATGAGGCATCAAGCGCTGCACTGGAGAAGGTGGAATCCAGCGAAGATGGAGAATGTGCAATCTATTTGGGAGATATGGAGGTGAATGAAGTGGTGACTCAGATGCCCTGCAATCACAAGTTTCATGGAGGGTGCATTGTGCATTGGTTGGGGAGGAGAAATGTATGTCCCTTGTGCCGTTTTAAAATGCCAGTCGCTACCGCCGCCACCACAATGGATGGTCGTTCTACTACCTAGTTACGGGCATCCAAAAATGCTTTATCCTTTAATTATGTGGTTGTTTAGTAATTTAGTTGTGAGATTTATGCTATAGACAGACAATTATCCATTTCAATTATGTATAATTTATTTAATAACTTGGTTGTGTGATTTCTATTGTTAGACAGTAATAATTATGTTTTTGTGACCAGTGCAATTTCTATTATAAATAGTAAGTTGCCCGTTCTAATTTTGCAAATTTAATATTAATAATGAGATTATGTAGCTTCCTTGGTTAATTAATTGATACTTACTTTGTTATGCAATAAAAATTTGGTTTTATATGTAATAGATCCAAAAATTAAAATAAAATTAGAGCATTGAAGATGCTCTTAGCAAAACTTTCCCTAAGCAAAGTCATGGAACTTTCACAACTCTAATTTTAATAGAAAGAATGGCACGAATATGACTTTTGACTTTTTGATGGACAAAAATATCATCATGTTTTAAAATGGACAAAAATGTGACCGCATATGCTTTTAGCTTTGCAACGATTGCAGATTCACGACTCCTCTTCTCTCCTCCGTTCCTCCATCGCCAAATCTCAGCTCCATCGGCTTCTACTCCTTTCGTCTTCTTCTGAAGGATCGTCGACTCCTGTTCAGATTCAAGATGGCATGGCTGTGCAGTGGATGGATCTGTTCTGTGACATACGTGATAGGTCCAGGTGAAAACTGTGGTGGATACGGTTGCCTCGTGTGATAGGTAGCGGTGGTGTGGTGATGGGTCGGCCGTCACAGGCTGGGGCAGGGTGTGGTGTTTGGCAGCGAATGTGGAGGGGCTGAGGGCCAGGGAGGGGCTAATGTGGTCACTGTTTGGGTGGCGGCTGTCAAGGCCGGCAACCAGCGGTCACCGGGTATGCAGGGCTGAGTGTAGGTGTAGGGATTGGGGAGGCGACAGTCACTGGCCGACGGTTGTCGGGTGTGCGGGGTTGAGTGCAGGTGTGGGGGTGGGGGAGGTGGCAATCACTGGCCGGTGGGGTGGCGACAGTCACTGGCCGGGGCTGCGACATCACTGGTCGGGGGGCAGCGACAGTCATTGCAGTGGCAGTCACTGATTCAGGCAGCGACGGAAGTCTTTATCAGGGCAGCGGTGGCATTCGAGGCGGTGACATTCACTATTGGGGCGACGACCACATTCAATAATCGGGGCGGCGATGAAGTCCTAATTGGGGCGTGGCGGCAAAAGTCCTAATTGGGGTCCGACGACGGAAGTCACTGCACCGAGTGGTCACTATGTGTTGGTCTAATTCTAGTCACTGAAATTGAAGTCAATGTAATGGAAAATACTTCATTCACTGCATTTTAGTCATATTTTTGGAAATATAAAAAAGATGTCACTTTTTTATCTTTTATCCTTATTTTTGTAATATTCAAGACCAAAGGCCATTTTAATAAGTTGATAAGTACAACGACAAATACCATACTGAAATTTTTAGCCATGAACTTTAATTTTACATTAACATTCAATTGTTTATGATGCGGTTGCTAGCTGTTTGTGTGATTTTTTGAATGTTCTTAAACATGATCTTTGCAAGAAAATTAAATCAACTTACATACCGCCTTGTACATCAAAATTTCTTTGTTTAATTAGTACTAGTTCTGTTAACTTGAGTTGTATTACCTTACTACAAATGAAAACATAAAATGAATATATAATCACCAAATAGAAGTGCTATGTGTTCTTTTTGACTCTCTCTAAACACTTAATGAATATATAATCTCATAAAATACATCTTTTCAATAAAATTAATTACAAACTAAACACTTAAATACATTTTCCCAATAAAAGTTGAATCAAATTTGTTACTTTCCTTACTAAAAAAGGAAGAGTCTACCTCTTTGGATAAGATAAGCCAGAAAAGTGCTTTGTTATTCATATTTTACAAAAATGTGAATAAAGAAGATAACAAACAGATTGAGTTAGTAAAAAAAATACATATTTGGGACTTAAAAACTAAAAATAGGGCAATTACCTAAGTAGGTGTAAGTAAAAGTAAAATTACAAGAATAGGAGCATAAAAATTAAATTTTCAAAATAGAAGTAACTCTTTCTATCCCAGTCTTTCCCTTATAATGTTTAATATGATGGTGCAATTGTGCAAATATCAATAATAATAATAAAACTAAAAAGTTAAATTAAATAAAACATAAAAAAATAAATAAAAAATATACATGCCTTAACCATCACTTCACCCACATTTCAACCCCACCACCTATGGTCACTAAAAAAATGCCAACTTGGAATCAAATTGTCATTTAGAGCCAATAAACTTCCAATATTATTATTTTATTGTTGTATTCAGGAGTAAAATTACTGCTAGGCTAATGGCAGATAAAATTAATGTTAGTCAATGCCCCGAAACCCAATTTAATTAGAGCCATTTTGTGTCATATGGAAATGGTAGAACATACTCCCCTCCGTTTCACAATCTTTGACACAGTTTGACTTGTCAAGAATTAGGGAAAAAATGTTACTGAGGGGTAAATTTTACTGTAGAGTACACTGTTTGGCACTGTTTGAACACTGTTTGGCACTGTTTGAATAATGTTTGGCATTGTTTGACACTATTTTGCACTGTTTTGGTAAATATTTGTTTACCAAATAAAGAAATAAGGAAGTGTGTCATTGATTGTTAAACAACCAAAAAAGGAAAGTGTGTCAAAGATTGTGAAACGGAGGGAGTACACTTTAAGCATGTTTGATGCTTTGATAGACATAAGTCTTCTAGCTTTCGTGCTGTTCAAAAAATAAAAGATCTTTTTTGAGATGCTACATGGAGTAGCATCCGAGAAAAGTCCATTACTTTTAGTATTAATTTGTCCTAAGAGTTTGTATACCAAACATAACTATATGAAACAATAGACTTTTTACCAAACATCTACCGCCTTTTCTTTTTAAGATCTTTTCAGTCACTAAATGCTAAACCAAAAATAGTTTTTTAGCTAATCGTGCCAAACATACCATTTATGGATCGTTTAAGTTTAATCTAATTCCGTTTGGACTTTTTAAATCTAATTTGGTCATCTGGTTTAAGTTTAATCTAATTCTGTTTGAGGTGTTTGAATTTGATTCTTAAAACTGTTTCTGCTCTTTCAGGGAGCAGAATGAGAAGTTAGAGTGTTTGGATAAAAGTACAGAAGTAATTTTGGTGCTCTAATTTACTCCTAGAATCAATTTACTTTAAAAAAGAAAATCAATTCCATACGCCTTTTCAACCTCCATTGCCGTCAGTCCACAAAATAACCCTAGCCGCCACAACCATTCGCTCGCCAACAGATTTGTTCCAAGTCGCCATCGACGAATGAAAGGCTCTGTCGCCGCCATTATTAGATCTTCACCGTTCCCAATCGTACAAGTAACAGAGAGGAAGAGTAAGAGAAGAAGAAAACGAGCGAGGGATGGCGTTGACGCCGTCGAAGACGCAGCACAAGCGACGAAGAGGAATGGGCGAGGGCGATGGAGAGGGAAATAGCTTCGGTTACGATTACGGCGGCGGTGAAATCTTCCTCCTGTCGTTGCAGATGGTGGATGCCGCAGGTGGTGCCGCCGCTACTGTGTTTGAAGCAGACGAGCAGAGCAGGAGAGGAGGTCTTCGATGAATTGGTGAGCGTAAGAAATGTTGTACGTTATTCGGAATTTCGGATGGGTAATTAGGGTCGAGGGACAATTCAGTCTATTCATTCCTTTTATGGTCAGTTTTTTGTTCGCACAAAATTTGAATATTTGATCATATTTTTGTAAATTTAAACTCTATAAATAGTATCTGGCTCATTCTTTCTTTTAGGTTTGCCAGTGACCTTCCTTTATTTTTGTTTGGAAATAGGGCTAAATAAGTCCACGTACTAACCAAAAAATTTCAAATAAGCCCTTATATAGGAGGCTACGTCCTACCGTCTTCATATGGGGCAGTTCCAGTGGAAATTTTTGATGCAATTTTTTAGCATGTTATTCATTAAGTCTAGTTTACTCATACCAAATTTCAGCTAAAACTTCAATTGGGAAGGCAGTTATTTTCAAGAATTTATTTGAATGTCTTCCCAATTGAACTTTTAGTTGAAATTTGGTATGAGTAAACTAGACTTAATGAACAAGATTCTCAAAAAATTCTTAAAAGATTCTCAAAAAATGTCACCAATAAATGGGGCAATTTATTTAAATGGTGCCCCACTTAAATGAATTGCCCCATTTATGGCCACACATTAGGGGGTGAGGGTAAAAATGAGGTACATTTTGGGGTACCTTCAGCATTTGTGTTTTTTTAAACCTAGAAGATGAACCACCCACCGGTGATATAAATGACGAGGAACATTTACTATAATTTATTAAAAAAAACCAATATTAAAAAATTCATCGAAGCTAGGTTTTGTAATTCTAGGTATCCTGGACATGGGGATATGAACCCTAAGGTCACTCATTCCATAATTTGGAGGCGATTATGTCATACTACCTCCGTCCCGATGGACTTTGTCAAGTGCAAAGTAGGTGAGATATAAGAATAATAAGAACTGTGTGGTTGAGATTTGTGCAGAGGAGAAAGAAATGTGCAAAACCACAAATTAGTTGCTTTAATAGGAAAGTGACAAAATTTTTTCGGATAATAAAAAAGGGAAAGCTGACAAAGTCCAATGGAATGGAGCGAGTATTAATCGCAGGGAATAAACTTATCTGGTTGCCTGATTTGGAAGGAAATTTCTCTATTGCTACTGCTTTTCAAGAAGTCAAGAGGAGTAGGGCTCCTACTCTTTCATCTCGCTGCATCTGGAATAAAAATAGGACCCTGCAAATCAAAATCATTCAGTGGAAGTTACTTAACAACATGATTGATGTTGCTGAGAATTTGCTTTGGTTTAATAAAGTTATCTAACTATCTATTTCCCTTTTGCGAGGCATTCAAAGTCTATTGACAATATTTTCTATTTATGTCCAGGATAAAAGATATATGGTCATACTTTATGGGTATATTCCAGCTCAACATTTCAGGAAACATTTCATGGCACATTTGGTAGGTATATCCAAATTTGATTTGGGGAAATATGGAATCGATCCCATTTATTCCCATCGATTAACTACTTAATCTTTCAAACCAAATTGAATACCCAACACCGGTCTCTTAATCTGAAAAATGGAAGAACAATAATAAAGGTTTTGATCTATTGATGGAAGAAAAACTTCTTTCATGGAAGCTTAGCAAATCGAGAAGTAAATTGAAGATAATAAAATGGATTAGATCTAAGAATATATTAAAGTTCAATGTCGATGCTTCGTTCTCACCTGATAGATCGACAAGCGGGGTAGTGATGCGAGATATGAAAAGGAAGCTCCTTTTCGGTCTAAGCTTTTAGATCCCATCGATTAACTACTTAATCTTTCAAATCAAATTGAATACCCAACATTGGTCTCTTAATCCGAAGAAATGGAAGAGCAATAAAGGTTTTGATCTATTGATGGAAGAAACACTTCTTTCATGGAAGCTTAGCAAATCGAGAAGCGAAGTCAAGATAATAAAATGGATTAGATCTAAGAATATATTAAAGCTCAATGTTGATGCTTCGTTCTCACCTGATAGATCGACAAGCGGGCAGTGATGCGAGATATGAAAGGGAAGCTCCTTTTCAGTCTAAGCTTTTAGATCCCATCGATTAACTACTTAATCTTTCAAATCAAATTGAATACCCAACACTGGTCTCTTAATCTGAAGAAATGGAAGAGCAATAAAGGTTTTGATCTATTGATGGAAGAAAAACTTCTTTCATGGAAGCTTAGCAAATCGAGAAGCGAAGTGAATATAATAAAATGGATTAGATCTAAGAATATATTAAAGCTCAATGTCGATGCTTCGTTCTCACCTTATAGTTCCACAAGCGGGGCAGTGATGCGAGATATGAAAGGGAAGCTCCTTTTCGGTCTAAGCTTTTAGATCCCATAGATTAACTACTTATCTTTCAAACCAAATTAAATACCCAACACCAGTCTCTTAATCTGAAAAATGGAAGAACAATAATAAATGTTTTGATCTATTGATGGAAGAAAAACTTCTTTCATGGAAGCTTAGCAAATCGAGAACCGAAGTGAAGATAATAAAATGGATTAGATCTAAGAATATATTAAAGCTCGATGTCGATGCTTCGTTCTCACCTGATAGATCGACAAGCGGGGCAGTGATGCGAGATATGAAAGGGAAGCTCCTTTTCGGTCTAAGCTTTTAGATCCAATCGATTAACTACTTAATCTTTCAAATCAAATTGAATACCCAACACTGGTCTCTTAATCTGAAGAAATGGAAGAGCAATAAAGGTTTTGATCTATTGATGGAAGAAAAACTTCTTTCATGGAAGCTTAGCAAATCGAGAAGCGAAGTGAAGATCATAAAATGGATTAGATCTAAGAATATATTAAAGCTCAATGTCGATGCTTCTATCTCACCTGATAGATCGACAAGAGGGGCAGTGATGCGAGATATGAAAGGGAAGCTCCTTTTCGGTCTAAGCTTTTAGATCTCATCGATTAACTACTTAATCTTTCAAATCAAATTGAATACTCAACACTGGTCTCTTAATCTGAAGAAATGGAAGAGCAATAAAGGTTTTGATCTATTGATGGAAGAAAAACTTCTTTCATGGAAGCTCAGCAAACCGAGAAGCTAAGTGAAGATAATAAAATGGATTAGATCTAAGAATATATTAAAGCTCAATGTCGATGCTTCGTTCTCACCTGATAGATCGACGAGCGGGGCAGTGATGCGAGATATGAAAGGGAAGCTCCTTTTCGGTCTAAGCTTTTAGATCCCATCGATTAACTACTTAATCTTTCAAATCAAATTGAATACCCAACATTGGTCTCTTAATCTGAAGAAATGGAAGAGCAATAAAGGTTTTGATCTATTGATGGAAGAAAAACTTTCTTATATGGAAGCTCAGCAAATCGAGAAGCTAAGTGAAGATAATAAAATGGATTAGATCTAAGAATATATTAAAGCTCAATGTCGATGCTTCGTTTTCACCTGATAGATCGACGAGCGGGGCAGTGATGCGAGATATGAAAGGGTAGCTCCTTTTCGGTCTAAGCTTTTAGATCCGCGCAGAGTCAGCCTTTGAAGCTGAAATTCGAGCTGCTGTTTTTGCTCTTCTTCAAGACCTATTCTACGAGGAAAGATGGAAGAACTACCTCGAGGAAATGCGTACAGACTAGGATAATATTTTGACATACCTTTAGAGAAGCCAATTGGACCTCTCACTTACTCGCTCCGGATTCTTCCTTATCCGATACAAATAGTTTAGTTTCCTATTTCAACATTAATTTGACTCCTCACTATATTAAGAAAACCTTTATTAGTGATTCTATGAGTCTGCCTTATTTTCGTAGAAATACGGGTAATTTCTTTTTCGTTATATTTATTTTGGGTCAGGTCTAGCCCCCCCCCCCCCCCCCCCCCCCCCCCATGTCTCTTTTTATTTTGTCGTATCCTGTTTTTGGTGAAGGGATGCCTTCACAAAGAGATTTGTTTTGTTTCCATTTTCACCACAACTTTAGAGAGAAGGTTTTCTCTATGTCCTCGAGTAAACGCAAACCAACACCTCCCTCCTGAACCAGGCGACATAAATCCTTCCAATTCCTCCGGTGATAATTATTTTTATTGTTACCGGACCCCAAAAGAAATGAGCCATTTTTGTTTCAAGAATTCTAATAATCTTTTTGGGAAGAAGATCAACTGCCAAAAAATGTAAAGGGATAGTGTTTAAAACATGCCTGATGAGAATAAGTCTTCCTTTTAAGATTTTTTTTGCTTCCAGGAAGATAATTTATAATCAATTTTTTTGATGAGATCTTCACAGTATTAAAACCTATTTGTCCCTTTATGCCGATAAGAACCCAAATACTTCAGTGGGAGAGTGAAGTGATGCATCCCCAATTATTCTTCCATCTTTTTAATTCTGATAGCAGACACTTTAGAGGTAACAAATGTACTTTTGTTAAGATTCACAGTTTGCACTGTAACCATCTGATATTTGCATAAAGATATGTTAAATACCAAAATGGATCTTGAATCTCCATTTAGGAAGATAAGGAGATCATCATCAAAACTCAAATGAGAGAGCCTATAGGGAACCCTTCCTTTCTCATCCAGTATGGTTTGATATTTCCTTTCTCCAAAACAGCCTTAAGACCCTTAGAGAAAGCCTCACAGGCCAAAATGTAAGGGAAGGGGGAAAAGGGGTCACCCTGTTAAACACTCCTTGTAGGTTTAAAGAAACCATAAGGCACCTCATTGACAAGTATATAAAGAGAACCACTCTTTAGGAATTTCTAAATCAATAATCTGAAATGGGCACTAAAACCAAACCTGTCCAAAAAGACCGGGAAACCTATCAAATGCTTTTTCCATGTCCAGTTTGACTACCACACTACCCCCTCTGATTTTCTTATCAATTGAGTGAATCATTTCCTAAGCAATGAGTATGTGATCTGATATCTCCCTATTCTTCATGAACCCAACCTGTTCAGTAGAAATAATTTTGGGAAGAATAGAAGCCTGGAAGTAAGCATCTTAGTACATACTTTGCTAGCAAAAGTTGATAGACATATGGGCCTATCCAACTTGGGAATAAGGACAATAAGAGAGCTTCTCATGGCTTGTGGGATAGGATTACCAAAGAAAAAATCTTGAACCGCTTTTAATAAACCCAACCAAACAATATCCCACTGAGACCTTAAGTAAGTACCATTGAATCTATCAAGACCAAAAGCGCTATCTTTATTTAAATCCCAGACTGCCTTTTTAACTTCCTCTAAATCTGGCATTTTAATTGAAATTGATTATCCTCCTAGTTGACCGGTTTAGGAATATTTTGCAGGATCTCATCAAAATCTACCTCCTGAGAATCTGAGAAGAGGTTTTGGAAGAATTCAAATGTTGCCTTCCCTTTATCTTCCAGAGAAGAGAGAATAACCCCAGAAGAATATGTTATTTGAGTAATTGCATGTCTCCTTTTCCTAATATTAAAAAAAGCATGACAGAAATGTGTGTTAGCATCTCCCTCCTTGAGCCACCTAATATGAGATATCTGCTTCCAAAAGGCACAAACTTGTTTATGTTTTGATAAGAGTAGCCCTTTCTTTAGTGACCAGTCTTCTCTGTAAAGTTTAGAAGGATCAAACTGAAAAACCATCTCAGCATCTTTAGCAACTTCCTCACAGTGCTTTAGATCATGAAATATATTTCCAAATGTCTTTTTATTCCAATATTTAAGATCAGCTTTTAGACATTTAAGTTTAGAAAACAATCCCCTCATTCCCCCACCAAAAGAGTGTTCTGCCAACTGAGTTTGACTGTATCAACAAAGGTAGAATGGTCCAGCCACATGTTCTGAAATTTAAACATTTTAGGTCCCTGGAATTGATTATTTTTGCAGGATAACAACATAAGGTTGTGATTAGAAGATGAGATGTTCAAATTATCAATCAGTAGAGAATCAAAGCAGTCCAGAAATGAAGAGTTGAACATGAATCTATCAAGTCTTCTCCAGAGTCTTCCATTTCTCCTCACTCCACCAGTATGTCCAGGTAAATTTGCAACCCCGATAAGGAAGGTCTATCATATTACTATTTGCCATACAATCCTTAAACTCAACCATATTGACCATATTAGGAATAGAAGGCCCCATATGCTCATCATGTTGACAAATTGCATTAAAATCTCATCCAATGACCATTAAAATCTCATCCAAGGAGTTAAATTTGAATTAGACCAAGTGTTTATAAAAGACCAAAGTGATCTCCTCTCCACATGGGTGTGAGCACCATAATTAGTTGTGAACCAATACTCAGAATTTCCAATAGCAAGTTTCATATGTGTAAACTACTCAGAAAAGGAAAAATCTGAAACAGCAACAAAATCATGGTCCCAGAAGATCCAAATTTTATTCACAGAACAAGTAAATACTGTTATAACCTAACTTAAGCTTAATGAAATCGGTCTTGCTGTGAGCCACAATAGGTTCAATAACCACAAGAAAATGTAAATTCCATTGCCTTTTAAGATCTCGTAGCCTTGGGCAAGAAGAAACAAGACCACGAAGATTCCACACTAGGCAACTAATCATTGGGTATGAAGCTTTTGAGAGCCTTTTGGCAACATTTCTGGTAAGCATTAAGCCCTGTGTTTCAACATTAGGTTCTTCACCCTTCTTTTTCTGCCCCTTCTTTTTTGTAACAGGCATGAAATCATCACCTTGAGGATCATGGCTGGTTTGAGATTCTTCTGTGATCACTTCATCTGCTGGTAAATCCTTTACCAATTCAGTGTTCAAAATGTCTTCTTGATGATTGTTAAGTTGATTTACCATTGATGCTTGAGCAGGATCAACTTCTTGGGTAGCATGCTGCTTTACTATAATATCAACCTTCCTGCACAAACTTGGTAGTTCCGCCTTCCATATATCAATTGAATCCCTCGCTCCACCTTGCTCTCCTCAAAAAAGTGGTCTTTTTTAGTTTTTATAGGGACTAAACTGGATTCATGTATAATAAGTTGATCATCATTAAAGTTTATCTGAGAAGTTCTTTTTGTTGCAAGGTCAAGAATATCCAGTGGATCAATAAACTCATCCTCTGATTCAGAGCCAGTAAGGTCTTGAATTACCACATAGTCTCAAGCTTCAAGCTTGCCTGTCAGTTTTATTTGTATTATCCCCTTGTGAATTACCACATAGTCTCAAGCTTCATGCTTACCACATGTGAAATAAAAAAATAATTCCAAAAATAAAGTTAATTTAAAAATATTTCCCAAAATACTGTTTCCCTAAACCCTTGTCAGGAGAGCAGCCACTTCAAGTGATACGCACGAACCAAGGATCCAAAGGAAAACATGACATGGTGGTCCACAAAAAAATAAAATCCCATTTTTACTTAAAAGGGATATAACTTTTTTATTCGTACTCTTATTATTACAAAAAATATATCAAAATTCACAACTTTTTATTATCTTTCATATGACACCAATATTGAATATATAAAACTAAAAAGATAATTTAACATGTTAAAAAAATTCATAACTATATATTATATTTCAAAAAACATCAATTTTGAATATATTAAAATTAAAATATTAGTTTTAATGATTTGTGAAGTTTAGGATTGTTTTTTACTGGGCACATAATTAATCAGGAGTGGTAGATTAGAATAAAACTGCATAAAGAATAAAACAATAAATAAGTGATGAAGTTTGTGCAGTTTTATTCTAAGCTATTACTCCTGATTAATTGTGTGCACGGAAAAAATGGATCCCGACTGCAAAAATTAATAGAATTAGTTTTTGAAGTTTTTATATATTCAAAATTGGTGTCTTATGAAAGATAATAAATAGTTATGAATTTTGATATATATTTTGTAACAATCGAAATACAAATAAAAAAATATATAAAAAAGATGTTTTTTAAAGTGTTACACTATTTTTTTATATATGTTCAATATTAGTGTCATATGAAAGATAATAAAAAGTTATGAATTTTGATGTATTTTTTATAAGAATCAGATTACGAATAAAAAAGTACAAATAAAAAATATATAAAAAAAGATTTTTTAAAGTGTTAAATTATTTTTTTATTTTTTTATATTCAATATTGGTGTCATATGAAAGATTATAAAAAGTTATGAATTTTGGTGTACTTTTTATAAGAATGGGAGTACGAGTAAAAAAATTATATCACTTTTAAATAAAAATGGGATTTTATTTTTGTGGGACCGCCATGTCATGTTCTCTTTAGCGGCTTGGTACGTCGCCTTAGCTGCGTATATCACTTTTACATAAGCCGCCACTCGGTTTTCCTGATCAGGGTTTAGTGGAACAGTATTTTGGGAAATATTTTTAAACTAACCTTATTTTGGGAATTATTATTTTATTTCACATTAATTTAGGAAAAAACTCAATATACTTTGCAACTCACTTCCCATTGTCCTTACTTTTAAATGTTTGCTCAGTAGGTTTAGAAGCCGTTCTCTTCCTCTTATCCTTATTACTTATTGCTTATTCTTATTTTATTCAGATCAAATCAAATCATAAAAATTCAGATCAAATCAGATCAGAAAAATTCAGTTCAGATCATAAAGATTTAGATCAGAAGCATTCAAATCAGATCGGAGAATCAAATCAGAAGCATTCAAATCAAATCAGAAAAATCAAATCTTTAACATTTCAAGAGGACCCTTAATGCGGTTTTTCCTAGGTGCACCCTTCCTTTTTGTTATATTCGGGCATAATTTATACGTGCTCTTATTTTTGCAAAGCAACCAACTTGCATTGAAGATAGAGGCTTCAAAACATTTTGTGCCCGACTTTGTCTATTCCAAGCGCGCCCACACTCTAATGCAATTGCAGATGTCGTTCCATCTGCGTCTTTCCTAGAATTCCGTATTCTAACAGGAAACCCTACTCTTCTCCCGTAGTCTTTGTAGAAATCATACACTGCATCTTTACTGGGGAACTCCATACCAACAACGGGGACTTCAATACAAATTTGTCCTTCCTCTTCATCTGTTATTTTAGAAAAATATACATGTTTACTTCAATATATTATTATATATAGTTATATAATATTTAATTCCTTCACCACTTTTGTCTAAACATTACCAATACAACCGTGTTTTCGAACAAAAGCACACACACATATATAAAAACTACATTACCAATATAACCATGTTACCTAACAAAAGCACACACATTTATATAAAAACTACATTACCAATACAACCATGTTTCCAAACAAAATCACATACATTTGTAAACACAACCATGCGAATAGAGACATTATTTGTTCTACGTACACAAACATTTAAAGTTGTCTAGCCACACACACATTTTATGCTAGACAGACGCTGCAGTTCTAAATTGTCTGTCAGACAGACAAAATACAAACAAATGAGGAAAATATGACATACTCTTCTCCAAGCCTTCAGCGTCCACATCTTCATCATCTTCTTCCCTTAGAGTCGTTTCTACTTCAACAACGACCGGAGATGGCGGCTTTCCAGCGTCACCCATGTCATCAAGCTTGTCACCTTCATCTCTCCATGCCAAGCCATCCAAAAGAACCTCATCACTAAAGTCGGATACTTCCTTCCCCATGATATCCATCCAAGAAGATGAAGGAAAGAAGCAGATGAGAGGTTGGGTTGAGCACTGTAGCAATTTTGAAGGAGGAGAGGGTGTTTTGGACGAAAGTTAAAGAATGGGTGGGATATGTGAGAGAAAGGTATTTGTGGAAAGGGGTAAACAGGATGGTAAAAAAGAGGATATTTATATGGTGTACAAAATGGGGTGATGTTGGGGTACATATAGCAAAATTGTTATTGAATTCGTTCGAGTTTATAAGGTACTCCCTCCGTCCTGGAAAATTCTTCCGGTATCGCAAATTTATGCAAAAAGTTGGGAGGGTTGACTTTCCCATTACACTCTTGCCCGAATGGGGTAAAGAAAAGGGTAAAAGGTGGGGTAAAAAGTTTAAATAGGATATAAATGATTAAATGTAGAATTGATTGACACGTGAATAGTAAACATTATTCTTGAGAAGCTAAGTGTGCATAACTTAGGCGGCAAGGCCAAAAAATGGAGGGAGTTCTATTTTTAGTTCATTACATATACTCCTCCCTCCTCATACACTCCACACACACGCACACTTACACACTTACAGCATACACTCCATACACACAGGAAAAAAAATGCCAGCTTCATCACTTGATTCATCTCCCACAGCTGCATCGATCATCTTCCACATTTTCTTCATCGTCCACACTTCCTTCTGCTGCTTCCACACCAGGAGCCCTAGACCCGGAAATAGTAATAACAGATGGTGAGGGTGTTGCAGTGGGGGGGGGGGGGTGGCTTTCAAACACTGAAAAAGATAGCATAGCAGCTGCACTCTTAATGTCTAGTTGGAGGGATTTTTGGGGGACTTGAAATCTCAGAAAGGTATTTTCGTTTTACTTGCTGAACAGTTTGAAGTGTCAAGAAGAACTATTTCTGATATTTGGGAGACAGTTAAAAGGCAAGATGTAAAAGGTGATGCAGTAGATGTGCATAGGAAGTGGTTTGGTAAACCTGGCAGAAAAAGAATAGAATTTGAACTATCTCACATATCACAGATCCCACTACATAAAAGGATTAACATAAGGTCATTAGCAGCTGCGACCTCAATATCAAAGTCTAGTGTCCACAGATTGGTTCACAGAGATAAGCTCAGAAGACATACAAATGCAATAAAGCCATTTCTAAGTGATGCAAATAAATTGAAAAGACTGAAGTTCTGTCTTAGGTAGGTAGAGTAGTCAGTGCTACAGAAGCCTACTTTTCAAACATTTCAGAATGTGATTCACATTGATGAAAATGGTTTTTCATGACAAAAACTTCTCAAAGATTATACACGGGGTTGGAAGAGACTGATCCACACAGAGTACGCAAATCTAAGAGGTTCATAACTAAAGTAATGTCCCTAGGTGCAGTGGGTAGGCCCCTGTTTTCAGAAAGTGTTTGCAGGGAGGTCATTTGGGATGGAAAAATAGGCATGTTTCCATTTGTTGAACAGGTTGTAACAAAAAGAAGCAAAAACAGAGACTACCATATCACAGGCCTAATGCTTTCATCATAGCATACCACACATAATGAACCAATACACAGACCTCCTACATTCATCACAGTATGCATAAAGAACCAGTACACACAAGGTCTACTTTCATCACAGTATGCATAAAGGACCAGTAGGGATACTTTCATGACAGATTGCTTAAAAAACCAGTCAGTACACACAAGAGACAATTTCATCACATTATGAATGAAGGACCAGTACACACAAGGTCTACTTTCATCACAGTATGCATAACTACCATTAATCATACCAAACAACCATGTACAAGCCACATGCATCACATTAAACATCAATAAAACCATTTTTCGTCATTGCTTCCCCCAAAAAATCACACATAGGACACAGAGTACGAATTAAACCATAAACAAAAATAGGGTATAGAAGAAACCCCCCTAATCTGTGTCCACATCCCACATCCTTGTTTCCCATTTTGGTATAATTAGTTTTAGGAACTCTTCCAGCCGAGGACTTCTCCGAATAGGATGCATGTCGGTGTCTCTGCGTCTTTTTAGCATATTTGGGTCCACCGTTTCCCCCCAAAACCTATGTAGGTGTCACGCCCCGGACCCACGCGGACACGTCGACAATCCGCCATACAGTACGAATAGTCAACCGCAGTTCGACACATCCATACTATACAAGGCGTCTGGAATATCATTCACACATAGTACATCCATAAATAAACATAATGTAAAACACATTAAAGCAGCGGAAACATTAATACAAATGTTCAAGACACACTTGACAAACTTAGGCATACAAGCCTTCAAATAATTATTCAAAAATAATATACATGAGCATTATTGATATTGTTTTCAAAACGGAAACGGAAGAAGCACGAATCAAGTCTTCTTCCTTTGATCTTCCCGAAGAAACGGGCGGTGGTAGCAACCTTCAAGTTCTACCTGAAACTGTGAGGTGGCCTCCCCTTGAAGAGGAGGTCAGTACTTTGAAGCATTTGAAAAGTACAATGACAACTACATTGTATATA